ATCTCTTGATGTATTGCTTATAGCAGATAGTTGGACTTACAGCTTCTTGATTGAGTATACATTACAATTCCATAGAAGCCCTCCAAGTTGACCAACTGCATTTCCCCCGGTTCTGAAAGTTGTGGATCTTTAAAACATATGACACTCTTTACATAATGAAGTACACATCTGATTTTGTTTTTTGTGGGTCCAGATTTTAAGGTTTGATTCAAATCCAGAAACCTAGAATCTACAGTTGCAGTGAATTTTATACTGTTTCCTTCAATCAGTTTCCTCCACTTTCTCCACTATTTCTATAGTGAATTTGTTGTTGTTCTCAACTAATTAATAGGAAACTATTTGAATCTATGGCTACTATACATGTTTATTTGGTGATTTTTGAAAATTATAACCTTAGTTGTTATTAAGAAAGGCTGAGGATTTTTATTCCCTGTGGACTGATGCTATTCTGTTTGTTCTTTGGTCAAATTTATCAGTTCTTCCTAGGGCTTGTTTTATCTGTTTTTTTTCTCAATCCAAAGATATCCATTAAGCATTCCTGCATTCTTTGAATAGACAAAGCTTTGGCAGCTTTCCCAGTATGTCTTTGTTATTCTTAGAAAAGAGTTTTAGTCTCTTTCAAGGCATTCTGTCAGTGCCTTGTAAGCAGTAACATCTGGTGAACAAGCTTCCCTCTGAGTCAGTGTTTCTCTGGAAGATTTGTTTAGGATCCTGCCATCTACTTTTATAAAGCAGTATTCTTGGATGTTCATTTAAGAGCTGATTCATTTTAGATTAGTCAATGATTCCCTCTTCCCAGTTGTGTCAGTTGGAAATTCCCACTTCCATCTTGTAAGCTTGGTAGTCAACCAAATGTGTGATACAGAGACCATGAAGAAAGAAGGTTGATTTTCTGTAATGGTGGCTCTTTAAGCGGCCATGTGTGCAATGAGCTACCTATCCATTCTGTGACTATGTTTGTGGGTTTTATGGGTTCTTGTAGCTTCTGCAATTATTTAAAAAATGAAGGGAAGGAAGGATATGCAAAATAAATATATGCTTCTTCCAAAAAATCTTCAACACTGGAAATTCCTTGAATGAGGTGCTGCTCAGACATATCCTTTATATTTCTGAATTTATAGATAGAACCAGAGTTACAAATAAATATCCTGTTTTGTCCTTGGGAAAGGAAGGAAGTAATTCCAATTTTGCTGTATTTTCGATGCATTTTTCAGTTTTGTATATAATATGGAAAAGGCTATTGGAAAATTTCCTTTCTTTTTGTTTCAATACATTACTTCTTATGCTATTTCAATATTGTTACATTATGTAATTGTTCACAAAACCAATTTCCTCTTAAGACAATCAAGATATTTAACAATATACAACCTGCTTCAATGAGAAAAAAGTTAGAAAAACTAAAGATAGATTGTGTCTACAAAGGGGGACGTGGTGTGATGAACTACAGTGGAGCAGCAGTTTTCCAGGAAAAAGGAACTGGAGGGGGGGCAGTTTAAGTCAAGAGACAATATAGCCCAAAACTGGATTGGAGACAAAGGAAGAAAGGAGACCCACTCCCTAAAATCTCCCAGGGTATTTCCGTTAGGATCAAAATAGTTGAGGTTTAGCCTGGAAACACTGAGCAAATAAAGGACTGAACTTTGGCTGGATTGTCTGTTTTGTTCTTGGCCTGGTCCTGACGTATGCTGTCAAAAAAAAAAAATCAACAGCTAAATATTAGCAAATTTGGCACATAAGTGTAGAGGCATGAAAGCCATCTTTTTCCACTATTTTTATTTTTTAAAATATATTTTTTTAAAAAGTCATATTTATAATGGACAGATCATCAATTTAACATATAAAGGTAAACCATGTCTATGAACTGTTTTCATAATGTAAAAAAACTATAAGTTTAACTTAGTGCCAAAATCTTTACTACATTATTACTATTAAAAGTTAAAAAGAAACATATCAAAAGGAAAAGGAAAACAAAATCCTCTTAAAAATAATATCATTAAATATCTAATTTCTGACTTCCCCTTTCTTTGTACTTCAAATAGTTTTTAGTATTGATGTAAACTTGAGAAATCATACTCTAAATTTTTATATTTGCCTTGCTGATAATAATTTAATGTATTTAAAGATATATTATTTCAAAAATTAAACATTTTGCTTAAATTTATTTAAATTTATATAAATTTTATTAAAAGTTTTACAAAGAAAATAAAAACTAATAAAAGGGAGTAGGTTAAAAACCATGTTACCTGAGGGATTGCCTTTCCCCAAGATTCTATACCCAGCCAACTCAATCAGGCAGAATGGGCATACTGCAGATCTCTTCAGCCAGAGTGTCAGTTGATGGGGACTAGAATATGGGCTTTTTCTGCAGCGGTCCCTGCTCTACAGAATATCCTCCCTTTGGAGATTAGAATAGCCCCAACCCCTTTGGCCTTTCATAAGGCCCTGAAAACCTGGCTACATTCCCAAGTCTGAGGTGCTGAATATGTCAAGGGCCCTGTTTCCTGGCTTTATTGCTAACTGGCCAAGTATATAGGTTGCTACCACGTTTTCCCAAAAAATAAGACATATCCCAAAAATAAATCATAGTCTGATTTTAAAGTGTGCTCCTACTATAAGCTCTACCCACCAAAGAAGCTCTAGTTAAAATCGTCATCAGGAGGGAAGGCATGACCAGCAATGGAGGCATCAAGGGCGCGGGGGCCAATGATGTCTGGCAGCAGCCACAGCTTGCGCAGCACAGGTTAGTTGATTACCTGTCCAAGCAGCAGGTGGAAGCAGGGGAAGGAGGCACATGATCTGGATGTGCTGCATGGGACACAGGAAAGCCAAGAGTCGATAGGCTGGGGCAGCCGGGCAGCCACAGGAAGTTCGTCTTTATGCAGCAGGACCAGCAGTAGATGGAGGAAGGAAGCAATCATGCAGCGCAGGCCACGAGAAAGCCAAAAGTCAGGTTGGAGCAGCCAGGCGGCTGCGGGAGACTCATTTTCCTGTGAGGGCACTGGCAGCAGATGGATTCAGAGGTGTGTGTGTGGGGGGGGGAAGACAGGTGATCCCGATGTGGCACAGGAAGGCAGAAAGTTGGCGGGCCGCAGGCAAGCCGAGAGACGCAAAAATGAGCCTCCCACAGCCGGCTGCCCATCTGTCCCACCATCTCTTGGCTTGCCTGCTCTGTTGCTATAGTGAGCAAATAAAAGAAGTGGACCGGCAGCCAGGCAGAGTCCTGCTGGATGGGGCTGCTGGAGCTGTCACCGCGGGTGAGACAGTTGTCAAGGCATAGATGGCCTGGCTGTGGGTGCGGGGTGCATGGGGCAGCTCCACCCTCTGCTTTGGGGCAGCATTACTCTTTGGAGACATCATCCAGCCATAATTCCCCACTAGATTTTCTCACTTTTGTTAGTTTTGCAATTGCTGCATATTCTCCAAGTTTAAGTTCCTAATCTGATATAGCCGGTAGTGTTATTTTTTCCAGTATTATGCAATGTTTGTCTTTATAGCTATAAGCATATACAGATAGCATTTATTTATTAGAATTGGTAACAACTTCATTAAGTGAAGTGGTTGCTAAGTCATAACTGTGAACAGTTACTAAATAAGGCAGATGCTAAATAACGTATGTCTTAATAAGATATGGCATTTTACTGATAATTCCATTATCAATAAAGAATACTAGAATTTTGCCTAATTTTAAAAATTGATTTCATTTCAAACTTGGTCCCTCTGATTCTCTGAATGGTGTTCATCACATATGATGGAATATTCCTATTCTCTCATGGCTTTTACAGCAATTATTGCCATATGATCTGTCTATTTGGCTATAATAGAGTTGTATCATCATTATCATTTTAACCATTGTCTATCCACTGCAGGATGAAGACCTCTTCTGCATGTTTCCAACCAATATTGTCCTGAGCTTTCTTTTGCTAATTGGGCCCACAATATTTGCTGATTTCGTTAATCCATCTTGTTTTAGGACTCTTTTGTGGCCACTTTTTATCAAGTGGGATCCATTCTATGATTGTCTTGGTCCACTTGCCATCAGTTCTTGCTATGTGACCAGGCCATTTCCATTTCAATTCTTTTATTCTCTTGATGATACTGTATATTTTTGTTTGTTCTGTAATCCATGTGCAGGTCTTTCTACCTTGTCTTGTAATACTGAGCATATATCTTTCCATGGCTCTTTGCACCACTTGTAGCTTTTCTATCAATTGTGAGATTAGTATCCATGTTTCACTGGCATATGTTAAAGCAGGTAGCACACACTGATCAAAAACTTTTCAGGCAAACGAGGAGGTTGTTCTTGAAAGTTATGCTTAGTTTGTCAAATGCCTGCCAACCTCATTTAACACACCATTCAATTTATTTTTTTGCATCATCTTCCATTGAGATCTGTTGGCCAAGGTATATATAGTGGTCTACTATGACTAGTTCTTTTCCAGATATATATTTTTTCTTTCTTGCCCCCCACCCCCTTCTTTCTATCGCCATTTCTTTATAAAAAAAAAGGAGGTTATATACTGTCTATAAAACATTTTGTACCTCTTCTCTCAAACCATAGCTTGGTGTAAATTACGCAGATAATTTCTAATTTACTGTCATAATTGGAACCAACAGTCTTAAATAAAATTACTGGTCATAACTCCCTTTTTTCAGTACTATTGTAACTTCAAGTGGTCGCTAAACAAATGGTTGTAAATTGAGGATTTGCTCAACTGTTCTTTTCATTGTTGCACTGATATTTCTTTGAAATTTTGTGTCAAATTTCTGACATGCTTTTTTCTTTGTTCTGTCAACATACCATATCTAAGTAGAATACAATATTTGTATACAGTAGTATGTTTTGACCTTTGCTGTGCTTTTTATCTATTCTGTGGTGTGGATAGACTATGTTTGCATATGTTGTATTTTTTTCTGTTTCCTAATTTTTTAGCTCATGAGTGTTTAAATATTAAATATTAAGCAAGAGTATTTTTAAAAATTAATTGGTGGTATATTTGCAGATTAAAAGTGAAATAAATAAACTGTACAAGTTACTGGAGATAGATATTGATGGAGTTTTTAAGTCGCTTTTGCTGTTAAAAAAGAAGAAATACGCTGCTTTGGTTGTGGAACCAGCAGGTGATGGAAAATACATTACTAAGCAAGAACTTAAAGGATTGGACATCGTGAGAAGGGATTGGTGTGATCTTGCAAAAGAGACTGGAAAGTAAGTAGCACTTTATGCATTCTACTCTTTCTCTGAAAGATTTAACAGTATTTTTGTATATACAACATTTTAAATATTGCTATATTAATCTGTGTTTCTAAGTGTACTATAACCATTCAACTGTTCAATACTTTATAGCATTTCTAATTAGAAATATTTTAAAAGGCCCTTCAATAAATCTATATGAAAGCCCGTTGGCAAGTATTAGTAAACTGGCCTCTGCTATAGGGCAGAGGTTGCCTCTGACTGGAATTTCTCAAGTTAAAAAAAATCCACATAGAAAGCCATTTGTTTCTGGAAGTTATGCCTCCAAATTAGTAATTATGCTAGAGAGCAAAAGAGGTTGAAAAAAGTCTGAATTGAAAGTGACTCCCAGTAATTTAAGCAGAGTTCCATTTTTGTACAGAAGCAGCAGCAGAAAAGGCAATGAAGTAGAGCTGGGGAATGGCAGATAGGATGAGTTCGGCCAGAAGAGTTAGGCAGGGAAGGTAGAACCTGACAACATGCTGATTCTTTTTCTTCATAAATTATGTATTTTGTTGAAATAGTAATACTGACAAATAATTCTTGTGTTCAAAACTGTAGTAGAGGAAGTTGAGAATGTATTTTTTTAAAAAACAAGTTTTATTTAGTTTTCCATATTTTAACATCTCTTTTTAGTGAACAGCATGATTACAGGTTTCACATATACATACAAATATGGCCATGGTTACGTATTCAATTTTTATATCCAATTCCTTATCTTAACAGTGCTTTTATACATTTTCTATTTTATTGTATTATTCCAAATATTTATCTCATTATTTAATTCACTTATGATAACTTCATAATCATTATACTTTAGTACTTTTAACTGTCACATTTGTATATTTCATCTTAAATTCTAATTAAAAAAAGACACTTCTATAAATTGGTTTCCCCCCTGAAATCTCAATATAAGTGCGCCACCTCTAAGTTATAAATTCATTTATTTTCACCCCTTTTACATCTCGTTGAAACATTTACCTGAAACATTAAACTTAATAATCCCTTTAAAACTACATAGCATATATAAATCAGATTCTGCATGATTTTTCTCCTTTTAAATTTCATTAAATTCTGCCCCCCAAAAAAGGACATATTAATCATTCAAACAGTAAAACAATCCTAAGCCCTAAAGTTAATTCTTTTTCAGCTTTCCTCCTTCATAATTTCATTTATTTCCATATATTTAACACACATATTCCATTAATTATTCCATTCATATTTAAACCAAAAAAGCCAACATTCCAATCTTAAAATATTTCAATATATCTAATATACTTATTCCATTATTTGTTACAATTATCTCTACATAAAGAGGAAGAGCATTAGATTCCATTTTCCAAAAAATAACAATTCTGTTTTTCCATCTTGTCAGTCTATATGTCCCTATTTCGTAACTATAAATTTATTTATATTACCCCTCAATACCTTGCAGAATCCCCTTTCTATATAATAATCACCCATTATTTCTGTGTCCAATTAAGGATTTCCCCATTTTTTACAATTCCCATATTTTTTTGTTTCCAAATCCTGTTTCTTCTCCCTTCTTTCCCCCTGTCTTTTCTCCTTTGTTCTTTCACTCCAGTTTTTATCCCTCTCTCTATTTATAGCTTCCTTTTGCCCTTTGAATTTCTGCTGACTCTTTTTCCCTTTTTTAATTTTTCGAATATTTCCCTTTCTATTTAATTTCTTAAATCTCCTGTATTTATTTCCAACTCTTTTCTTCTTTCTTTAAGGAGTTCTTGGTTCTCGATGATCACTAAAGGTTGTCTCTTCTATGATTTGCTCAACCTCCTCTTCTGCCTTTTGTCTTTGTTGTTCATATTCTGCTGCCGCATTTTCAATAAATTTTAAAGAAAAACCCAGCGATTCACCTCATTCTTGTAGTGTTTCTTTCATTTTTCTGAGTTCCATTTTTAATGCCAGAAGAGAAATTGCCATTTTACAACTTTCTGATTCACAATTTAATCCAAATAGTATCTTTAAAGTTTATTTCCAACAGTCAACTTTTCTTCCTCTCAAGTTTTTAAGTCTCCGCTAATCCAGTGCCAAATTCATGTCAGAATCAGCAACTAATCCAAAGGCAGAATCTTCCTAATTCTTTCTTTGTTACAATGTTTCAATTTTTGCAAAGTTCTTGCTTTATTGTATCAATTTCCATGCAATTTCAAGAAACGAGTTTTTTAAAAGAAAAACAAGTTGAGTTTAACTGAGATGGCACTCAGTTATTGTGCTAAGTCTTCACCCCCTCTTTTCTTTTTTCTTCTCTATTATTCAGAGCTTTTTAAACCACAATTTTCCAACAAGAAAAAGATCAAATCCAGTTGATATTAAATTTCCTCTTTAACAGTCTATAGTTCAGCTGTATTAGTGCCAATATAAAATCAAAGTATACTTATCCAAGTTGATTATATAGTTCCTTCTCCAGCTTCTACCTTTTGCGGTTTCCAAGTCCCGATGCTATCAAAAGCAATTCACACCTTTTTTTTTCTCTCTTTCTCTTCGCTGCTTAGATCCTTTCTTAAAGATTTTTTTGAAATGTTAATCCTGGGGATATCTTCCATTTGATTATATCGTCCCGTTCCTCCTGCTGTTCGCTTCTTTCTCTCTCTCCTGCACAATCTTATTCCAATCTAATCTTCCCCTTCAAGGTGGCCATTTTAGACCACCACTTCAGGCGTCTTCGGGAGGGAGCAATTGCCAAACCGGGGTGGGGATTTGCGACTCCCCTCTACTCAGCTGACGGTCTCCCCTTCCTCCGCCACCCCTACGAGGTAGCTTCTTCCCTGAATCCAAAGGATTTGGGCTCTCTGACGCCGAAGCATGAACCAAAGCCGCGCATGATCGCGGTCAGCGGTCCGTCTTTGGGGAAGCTCAAACAGGAAGTCGAGAATATAATTTTTAACGAGTTGGACAAGAACAGAGTAAAATGCACATCTTTACTGATTTGCATATCTATTTTATTTTGTTTTTCTACAATTAGATGAGGTTAGTTAGCTTTCTTTATTCACAGAATAATTTAAAATAAATATTTTATGATATATTTTAATAAATATGCAACTATAAGTGGCAAATATTTAATGTGAATTAAATTGATGGAATGGTCAATTGATTAATACAGTCAGATGTAACATAAATGTTAGAAGAGATGTGGCCAGATTGTTTTGGCTATTAGCCTACACTCCATGCCAGTATTAATAGCAGCCAATAATTTTTGTGGAGAGATTTCCACAAAACTTTCTGAACAACTTAATGGGATTTATGAATATGCTGTGAATTTTCTAAAGGTTTATTATCTTAATGTGTCATATCTTATGTCTTTTTTTACAGCTATATAATTGGCCAGATCCTTTCTGACCAATCTCGAGATGTAATTGTAGAAAACATCCAAAGAAGGTTAATAGAAATTGGAGAAAATGTCACAAATAACCTTATTCCTGTAAAACAATATGAAATCAATAAGGTGATTAATATTGTTGTTGATATTACACATGAATCAGTTTGAATATATCCATGGAACTCTCCATTGTTGTACATTTCTTATGTTGATAGCAGTTATCTTCATACTAAAGCCACATGATTCAGAAATCTACTAATATTTTATCATTCTGGCATGAGCATGTAAAAATGTATGTCTTAGAGGAGAAATAATAAAACAGGATTTCTCTGGGCTATGCAGAATTAAATTTATTTAGAACTTTGAGTAATCCAGACAAAGTCTGTTTTTTTCTGTATTATTTTATATAATATCTCTAAAATTTTCTCATTTAATCTATATTTCTCAGCCTGTGTATTGTTGCTGCTTATAAACTCATATTTCAGCACACTGACAATATATTTCTGGACATGTCCAGGATATGTCTCGGGTGCATTGCTTAAATGAAAGCAGTGTTTTTCTAGAAAGGGGAAAGAATAAGTATCATGTTAGTTCATTTTGACAATCATGATTTTCTTCTCAGCTTACTCTAAGTGTAAATGTCTCTTACAGCAGAAAGGTCGAGTAAATCATGATAGTAGATAGGACAAAGGTAAGAATGAAGATTTTACAGAAGAGAGAATCCTGCTTTTTTTCCCCAATCTGACATTGCTACTGACTATAATAGAATAATAACGCTGTCCTTCCCATGTATATTGTGTATATAAGAGTGAATGTCCACTACATCATGGTTAGGAATCCCAAACTATTTGTTGGAGAGAAAACAAGCTATGTTAATATGAAATTTTAATGTTACTTTTGAAAAATGTTCAATTGCTTTGGTTGCTTTGAAGTATTTATTCCCCTAAAGTCAACCTGCAAATATTCTAAAATCAATCAAGCACATATACATAGCAGTCTATGTATCTAAAGGAATTCTGAGCAGTAAAAAAAAAAAAAAATTAAAGCAAATTTATCCCTTGGCTTCGTGGCAATTTGAATTGTAAATATATTTATGATTTTATTTTGATGTTGTAAGCCACTCAGAGTCACCTCACAGTTAGATGGGTAGCAAACATAAATAAAACAATCAATAAATTTTTCTGATGTTCACCTAAGAACATTTCCTAGAGTGGCAGTCAGAAAGGAATAGTGAAATAGTGATTATGACTAGATTTTAAAGGATCACTTAATGTTACAATGTTCTGTATGGCACATATAATTCAGTAGCCACCTTTCTTTGACCTGTAGGCATTAACAAAAGATCCCCAAGATTACCCAGACAAGAAAAGCTTGCCTCATGTGCATGTTGCCTTGTGGATGAATTCTCAAGAAGGTAGAAAGCTGAAAGCTGGGGACACAGTGTCATATGTTATCTGCCAGGTAAAAGCATTCTTGTTATTTTAAAAGTATCTTTTTCCCACTTAGAAACAAAAACAAAACTAATCCGTATAGTACATTAATGGTAAATAAATACTACACTCCTTTTTATATACTTTGTAAATAAAGGACAGACTGGATCAGAGAGCCAGTTGATGCAAGTTAAAGGTGGTGGACTAGAAACCAGGAGATTGGGTTCTAATCCTGCCAGCCCAGCTAGCTTTGTGGCAGTCCCTCTCTCTTAGCCCTAGAAGAAAGGCAATTGCAAACCATTTCTAAAAATGTTGCAAGAAAACTGTATGGATTTGTCCAAGCACTTACCAGAAGTCAAGACTGACCAAAAAGGGTGAGGGTGGGGAAGAATACAACTTGTGTCAACAAATTCATTCTTTTGATGAAGGATGGGTCAAATCTGAGTGCCAGCCAGAGAGCATATGCTCCGGAACAACTGAAGAAACAAGGAAATCTTACTATTGATGTTCAGTATTACTTGTCACAACAAATTCATCCAGTGGTAGCTCGTATCTGTGAACCCATAGATGGAATTGATTCCGTTCTTATTGCAGCATGGCTTGGTAAGTATAGCGGTGTTTATTTTTCTAGTACTTATTCTTAATATTGATTGGTGAACAAAAATCTGAGAATTCGTATATGTTATGAGAATATGCCTTCCATGCTATTACGGCTATTTTTGGAAGAGATAAAGAAATAAAGATTGCTGGTTACATTTATACAGGAAGCATCTATATATGAGATGACTAATGAATGACTAAAATCATCTGGCCTAGTGAGACAGATGTTTATGAGATGTTGAATTGAAGATTACCTCAACAAGCTCATAGCACAGGTAGTCCTCAATTTACGGCCACAATTGAACCAAGATATATATTGCTAAGTGAGAAATTTGTTAAGTAAGGTTTGTCCCATTTTACGACTTTTCTTGCCACATTTGTTAAGTGAATCATTGCAGTTAAGTTAGTAACATGGCTGCTAAATAGAATATAGATTTTCCATTCATTTTGCTTGTCAGAAGGTTGCAAAAGGGGATCATATGACCCCAAGATACTGCAATCATCATAAATGTGAACTTGTTGTCAAGTATCTGTATGTAAGTCACTTCTGACAGTTTTGGAAGCCATATTAGCTTCATTCTTGAGCCTGGGAAAATGGGAGGGGGGAATTTTGTGGAGCGTATGTGGTTAGACATAATAGTATTCTTTTTTAAAGTCAAGGTCATGTTATTTCTGCACTTGGCTGAGGAATGGTTAGATAGATCGATGATAGATAGACTTCTTTATTGGCCAAGTGATTGGACACACAAGAAATTTGTCTTGGTGCAAATCTTTCAGTGTACATAAAAGAAAAGATACATTCATCAAGAGTCAAGAATCATAAGGTACAGCACTTAATAATAGTCATAGGGTACAATAAGCAATCAAATCATACTAGGAAACAGTCAATATAAATCGTAAGGATACAAGCGACAAAATTACAGTCATACAGTCACAAGTGGGAGGGGATGGGTGATAAGGAGTGATGAGAAGATTAATAGTAATAGTAATGCAGACTTTGTAAGTAGTTGGACAGTGTTGAGGGAGTGATGCCATTCGAGAAAAAAATGTCCTTGTCAAGTTGTTCTGGTGTGCAGTGCTCTATAATGTCGTTTTGAGGGTAGGAGTTGAAACATTTTATGTCCAGGATGTGAGGTGTCTGTAAATATTTTCACAGCCCTTTTTTTTGACTCATGCAGTATACAGATCCTCGATTGAAGGCAGGTTGGTAGTAATTGTTTTTTCTGCAGTCAGAGGTTACTCTCTGAAGTTTGTGTCTGTTTTGTTGGGTTGCAGAACCAAACCAGACAGTTATAGATGTGCAGATGACAGATTCAATAATTCCTCTGTAGAACTGTATCAGCAGAACATTCTTTGTTGTGCTTTTTTGATGATGTTTTTGATGTTAGGTATCCATTTTAAGTCTTGTGATATGATAGAACCTAAAAATTTTGAAGGTCTCTATTGTTGACACTCTGTTGTCTAGCATTGTAAGAGGTGGTAATTTATGGGAGGTTTTCTCCTAAAGTCTACCACCATTTCTACGGTTTTGAGTGTGTTTAGTTCCAGATTGTTCCGGTTACACCACGAGGCAAGTTGTACAACCTCCTGTCTATGTGCGGATTCATTGTTGTCTCAAATGAGACCAATCACTGTTGTATCATCTGCAAACTTCAGTATTTTAACAGATGGATCATTTGAGATAAAGTCATTGGTATATAGGGAGAAGATAAGTGGAGAAAGCACACAGCCTTGGGGGGGGGGGTAATTGTACAGGTATCAGATGTGATTCTGCCTAGCTTCACCTGCTGCTTCCTGTCCGTTAGGAAGCTTATGATCCACTTACAAGTGTGTTCAGGTACCGCTAGCTGGTTTAATTTAGTTAGAAGAATATCTGGAATGATGGTATTGAATGCTGAACTGAAGTGTACAAAGAGGATCCTTGTAGGATGTAGTGTAGAGCCATATTAGCAGCAGCATCTGTCGATCTATTTGCTCGGTATGCAAACTGCATGGGATCTAACAGCGGATTGTGATGGTTTTCAGGTGGGACAGCACAAGCCTTTCAAAGATTTTCATAACTACAGATGTTAGAGCAACTGGTCTGTAGTCATTCAGTTCCTTGATGGAGGGCTTCTTTGGGATAATAGTAGAGCGTTTGAAGCAAGAAGGAACATAGTACATCTCTAGTGATTTATTGAAGATTCAGGTGAAAATGGGGGCCAAGTGGTCAGCACAGACTTTTAAGCAAGAAGGAGTTATTTTGTCTGGCCCTGGTGCTTTTCCTGGCTTTTATCTGTGAAATAGATCTTGCACTTCTTTTTCTGTGATCACTAGAGATTGTGAACCCAATGGGTTGGGGCCAGTTGTAGGAGGCTTGGCTGTTGTTGGTGTGTTTGAGATGTGGGTTGTGGAGATAGGTGGCTGTAGTTTCTTTTCAAACCTGCAGTAAAACACATTCAGGTCACCTGCTAGTTGTTGATTTCCTTCTGCCTGGGAAGGAGGTTTGCTGAAGCCAGTGATGTTTTTAAGAGTTTTCCACATGTTTTCTGGTTCATTCGTTGAGAACTGATTCCTTAACTTTTCAGAGTAGCTTCTTTTTGCTGCTCTGGTCTCTCTTGTTAATACGTTTCTGGCCTGATTGTACAGCATTCTATTGCCTTTTTTGTAGGCTTCCTCTTTGGAATGACATAGCTGCTTAAGTTTAGCTGTGAACCAAGGTTTAGTGTTACTATATATTAGCAGATTCCTTGTTGGTACACATAAATCTTCGCAGAAGCTGACATATGATGTTACAGTATCTGTGAGCTCATCTAGGTTTGCAGAGGTATCTTCAAAAACATTCCAGGCAGTGCAATTCAGACAAGCCTGAAGTTTCAGCTTTGCCTCATCAGTCCAAGTCCTCACTGATTTAATTGTTAGTTTCGTGGTTTTAAGTCTTTGTCTGTAGGCAGGTACAAGGTGAATCATGCAATGATCAGAGTGTCCCACAGCTGCTCATGGTAAACACCTATAAGCATCTTTTACTGTTGCGTAGCAGTGGTCTAAAGTTTTTTTTGCCTCTGGTCGGACAAAATAGAGGGGATGTCTCAAGTTGGGATGGATGGTGATTGGGGTATGTGATACAATGAGGGGGCAGGGGGTGGATTTGTAATTTTTTTACTTATTGGAGGGAAACCCGGAACTTTCAGATTTGGGATTTCCCAGATGTGCCAGTTTACTACTCTAATAAAAGGATACTTTGAGAACATGTCTGTTTCAGAGTTATTGATTGGAGCTGAGGTTTTCTGCAGCTCTACACACACGACCATTAGTGATGCAATGGTGTGAAAAATGGTCATGAGCTGCAGTGGCGCAGTGGTTAGAGTGCATTACTGCAGGCTACTTCTGCCAACTGCTGGCTACCTGCAATTTGGCAGTTCAAAACTCACCAGGCTCAAGTTTGACTCATCCTTCTATCCTTCCAAGGTGGCTAAAATGAAGACCCAAATTATTGAGAGCAATATGCTGACTGTAAACTGCTTAGAGGGGGCTGGAAAGCTGTATATAAGTCTAAATGCTGTTGCTATTAGTCACTTTTTCAGTGCTGTTGTAACTTTGAACAGTCACTAAATGAACTGTTGTAAGTCAAGGACTACCTGTACTAATTTTTTGAAATCTTATATGGCCTTTCCTGAAATCTTAAACTAGCAGCAGAAATGTACATCCATAGTTTCTATTGCTCATACATTCTTTAATGAAACTAGCCCAATTATGGTAAATCCAATCTGCTCTTAAAACAATACATAGCAATATTTTAAACATATACAATAGGTTGTCTTGTTCTTTAAATGTGCATCCTATATTTCTATCAGATGTTACTTATGGAGCCTAATGGAAAAGATGAATAACATATGAAACATCAATCAGTGTTTTGGTTAATCAGTGCTTTGGTTATAAAGTAATTATAAACCAAGTGCAGCTTGATACTTTAAATAGAGATCATGATGTTAAATCCTGTGTCATTACTGACTTTAAAGGTTAATTTTGTATTAAGAAATCCAAACCAACTTAATCCATATTTCTCAGGGAAGATTTTGTATTAGTTTATGAGAATGTTATCTAGTTGGATTATTATCGCTTTGTTCAGACTATCCTAATCTCATGACCTCCAGATATGATATATTTGATTTCTCAGCCAGGATATCAAACTTTATGCTAATTGGAGAAGTCTAGCTTGTTTGTTGAAGGGAATAAACTTAGGTGAGTCCCACTAAAAGTGTTCGTTTGTATCTCATTTGAAGAAAGACCTATAATGCAAATGATATAAACTTGTACAAACTATTGACTTTAATATCTTTTTGCAGGTGCATTCAAACCATTTTCGGGTTATAGCAATGATGGTTTCTTCTTTCAGAGAATAGTTTGATTTCAGAGGAGTTTTTCATTACTGAAGACCTAATTATAGGGTAGTCATTTTCAGTACTATGTTTCTCCCAAAATAAGACCCGGGTTTATTTTCTTTTGCCTTCCGAAATAAGCACCTGGGCTTATTTTCGGGGGTGTCTTAATTTTATTTTGCCCTATACTTCAGGGCAGCTCAGCATCCCAGAGAAGCTGAAAACGGCACTTTGGCTCTTGCCTCTGCTGTCACAAGAGACATTGCTGGTGCTCGCTGAGCATGCTTGAGGCCAGCGAGCAGGCGCTGTTGAAGCCACAGTTGCAGCTTTTTCATGTTTTAGCTTTGCCCTCAGTTGGGAGTGGGGTAGTTCATGGTGAAATGGTAGGTGAATTTACTTGCAAGGTATTCCTAAAACGTCAGCAGGAGGGGAGGGTTGCTTAGGTAGTAGGCTGAGAAAGTGGGGTTAATATGTGAGGTGTGGGTATGGGTCAATCTTAGCATTTCACCTTCCTGCATTTTGCTAACTTTTGACTGCACATAAGGAAAGCAGAAGCAGCAGAGACCCTGGCTTGTTTCTCTCCCCAAACTCTTCCAGAAATGGGTCTTCACAAGGCTTCTTGCAGCAGGACGCTGCAAAGCTTGTTGTGGCATTGCGTGCATGAGCAGTGGTGCCACTGCAAGATTCATCCCATCGATGCAACCCTCGCAAAGACCCATTTCTGAGACTATTTTATTTCTACAAAATAAAAGTACATTCATTTAAAATAAATATAATATAAAAGAGTACAGATTTTATGACATCTCATATGTGAAGTTGGATTTTGGCTATTTAAATTTTAAATTAATTTTGTTTTAATTTTGAGGATCAGTGGGGCAGTATCTATTGGTCTTGTGAGCATAAGATTGCCAATTCCCCACCTTCCACCCCTGGTTTTTAAATAAATTTGGAGTTAAACAACAAAATGTTATTTATTTGTTGGTTAGTTGGTGCTGTTTTAGCTAAATAAATACATTTTTACAGACTATAATGTTATAATAAATTTTCAAACTAGCAACCCTCATGTATATCCTAAGCATTTTTCATAGTTTAATATTTCTTAAAGTTGAGTTTTTGTAGGGTGAATGAATAATCGTGGTCCAGGCACTTGAAAACAATTGTTATTTTTAGAAATTCAGACTGGAAACCTCTAGATGGCAGCACTAGACATCATTTTCAGTTTGTTTCTCAAAATATTTCATGAAGTAAGCTACAAGGTGATTAACTTTAAACTTGCATATACAGAAGTAAAGCTTATTAATCAATTTATTTTTAAAAAATAGGTAATTTTTGAAATAATGCATCTAATCATCTTGCCAATTGAGATTAAATAGAATTTTTATATAAGTGTATGACTACAAGGCATAATTATCCTAGCAATTATTATATAACTTAAATACTACATAATAATTGAGATTTTACATTTCTATATTTTCCCCAAGGTGTGATCTGATCAACGATTACTGGGCCTTTACTTCAATTAAATGACAGACTATATAATGACTTCTAACATAATACATCAGTTTGTGGTTAAAGTGATTGTTTGACTTTACAGTTATACACAGCATGTGTGAGAATATAGATTAGAATGAATTTTGACAGCGACATCCGTGAGATAAATATGAATAAATCTGTAGATATTAGATATAAATATGAATAAATCTGTAGATATTAGATAAATATGAATATATCTTTAGATTTAGATATTCAAATCTGCCTTGTAGATTTGAAATGTGCTATTAGCTAACTTAATTTTTTCAAGACTGGAGATACTGAAATTATTGTTCAAAAGTGCATTAATGCACCTAAGAAATAATCTGTGATAGAAATACAATGTTATTATTTATTTGAAATTATACTTCTGAAACAGAAGCATTAAATTTATTTAAATGCTTTATTGACTCAGGATCATGATTGTGATTTTATAGCATTAATTGTTGTTGATGGGATTTTACTGACATAACTAAATTTCTACTGCTAAATCTGTATCTAATTCCTTTTTAACAGCAAAAGGGTTACTTGTGCTGCTCTGATTATTAATTAAATGAACCAAAGTGTAAATAAAGTTCAAGGTTTTTAAAAAATTGAATTTAAAATATTACAATAGAAAATAATTTTCAATAATGTTTTAACTAGCATTCTTTATTGAAGGGATTTATTATAGTCCTATCTGTGATTGATAATTGATAATCAGAATTTCATACCATTTTATTAATAGTACTTTAAGAATCCAAATACATAATATATTTTATGGCAATAACGTTCTAAAGCATTAAGTAGATAAATTGGGCACCAGTTCTCAGAGTTCAATTCATCAACCACGCTCCAGAATAGAATTAGAAGTACAGTGATATGTATGCAAACATTTTATAATTGCTTCAGCAAAGGTAGTATGTAGCTTGCACTTCTAATAAACACATGAACTAATTTTAGTTGAATATTGAACATTCTTTTTAAGAAGGCCAGTCTTTTATTTCAAAAAATTAGACAGGGAATAATGCCAAATATAAGTATCATCACATCAATGAATTTAAACAAAGAGATCTTTATCAAAACAACTTATGGGTATGTCAAGGACTTTCTTACCCTGTAGAAAATACTCCTAATTTTATTCCTCACTGGAATACATTCCTCTCTTTCATCACTAGAAATAGAAATGCTTATGGAATGTATATTGCCAAATTTTATTGAGGTAAAATGCTTATTAGTACTGCCATCTCCTCTTCCTCCCTCCCTCCCTCCCTCCCTCCCTCCGTCCCTCTTTCTTTCTTTCTTTCTTTCTTTCTTTCTTTCTTTCTTTCTTTCTTTCTTTCTTTCTTTCTTTCTTTCTTTCTTTCTTTCTTTCTTTCTTTCAAATACGGTTTGACTCTGTAGCAGTATTCATCTAAATTATTTTTTCTGTATGGTCTGTTAAATTAGTAATCTTTATTTGAGAATTTTAACCTATCCTGATGCTTATTGTATAATTCTAAATACAAAACATATTTGTACAAAAAGAAATATGCTCATTTAAAAAAAAAACTTTCTGGATTCTAATAATCAAAAATGCTTTTTTATCTTCAATTCTGACTTTTTTATGCTGCTGAATTTTAACGACTGCATTAGATTGAAACTACATGCTGTTAACCACTGAGCCAAAATGAAATCAACCACTACATTGAAGTCTTGAGTTGGCAGTTGTGTGCAGTCTTAAAGAAGTATCTAATAACAATCCAGCCAAGCTTCTTTTAATGGGTTTTTATAATCTCTCTTTCATTTTAATGGTGCCATTCTGTTTTCTAATAAAGATGCACAATTTTATTCAAAATTCACTGTGTCACTAAAGGAAAATAGCAATAAATCTATTCTCTAGAAGTAGCATGTTCATAAACAAATGTTCTGCTGCATACTCCCCATGACAGATTATGCATTGTACTTGCTTTATTTATAAAGCAATTTTGTGTGGAAAGATAGGTAATTTCATCATATTGCTGAGATCTTTATTCTAGGTTAAAATGAGAAAATGTATTTTTTTTAAAGTATCTCATCCTGAGAATTCAGTTCTATTTTGGAATTTGCAACTCCCATTTGAAGCTGATGTGGCAAAGAATTGCTTTCTTTAGACTTTGAATTTATATTTCTTATTAACAGGAATGGATCCCTCACAGTTCAAAGTCCATCAACATTACCATAAAGATGAAAAATATGATTTGTTTGGTGGCCCAATTCAGCAAACTGATGAAGAAAAATATAAAGACTGCAAGAGATTCAAGTTTGCTTGTCCAAAATGTGGGACAGAAAATATTTATGATAATGTCTTTCGGTACTTGGTTAGTATATGGTATTTACAATTTTTGAAAGGAATTGTCTGCTTTGGACAAGATACTAAGGGAAAAGAAAAACCCTACATTAAGAGTTTCAATAATGGGCTTTTATATATTAACCTCAAATTAATTTTGCCTGTTTTTTCATGACATTTTGGCAATTGTACAAAATATTTCACATTGTATGTCAGACTGCTTAGTTTATAAATTCTATTTAAATATTAATTATTCTAAAATAAACTAATTAGAATTAGATGACTTTTCCTGCATAATTATTTGTATTTTTACATTTCTCTTTCCTTTTATGTAGCAGTTTTATAAATATTATCTTTCCTGCTGTCTTTGCACATCAGACATAAAGATACATCGGGTAAATTCACGTTCAGAAGTACTGCCAAAAATGTATCTGTGACCTTGGATCAAAACTTGAAATAGAGCCAGATATTTTTAACTCTGTTGCAATGTTATGCATGCAGTAGTTATTGGCAAATTAGCAGGCTGTGGGATAGTGAAAACCTTGGGAGTTAAAGCAAATAAATTCTTTATCTAAATTAAAAGTAATTATTTTAAGTTAATTTGGACAAACAGCAGATGTTTTGTGTTCTTTGAATCAAAACAAAGCAGTTGTTGGAAGCAAGTGAGAGGGAAAGGCAGACAAAGATCAGCCAATACTTGGTAAATCCTTGACTTTGTTTCATTACAGCTGTAAATGAAGATAGAAAATAATAAGATAGTTACTTGCACAGAGGATTGACAACTTACAGATGGTCTTAAGTGTAAAAAGAGCAGATATCAAGCTCTGCAGTTTTTTTCACCTGGAATTACAATGTTTTTAGTGCAAAAATTGTTAGATTAGATCGTAAAAATACAATTTTTAAGCAGTAATAGTAAGGGGAGTCTCAAAGCCTATCTGCTATCTACAGTATTTTCTTTATTATGTATTTTTATTTATCTTAGTCCCATTTCTGAGAGATATATTAAAAATTATGTTTGGATACCAAGCTTGCAAATGTTCCACTATTGTTCAGTATATTCAGTATAGTATGTAAAATCAGTTGTCAACAACAAAATGCTAAGATAGATTGTATATTTTTAAAATGTGTTCTTGCATGAGATCCTATTGCAAAGTTGCCTTCAATATGTATACCCAAATTTTGATTTTGATTTTCATTTTTTATCTCCAGGATGGAAAATTTAAAGCCAGTGTGCTATGCTGTAATCCAGAAGGATGTAATGAAAATCTTTTAAATTACTCTATGCAGATTAACAACAAGTTAATCTTGGATATAAGAGGCTTCATAAAAAAATATTACTGTGTGAGTAACTTACTGTTAGTCTGTATTTAACCACATCTTTTCCTGATTGAATCAATGTATTAAATAACAAATGTCCGGTTAAATGACATGATATTGAAATGCTAAATCATGGTTTAATTAACGTGAAATAGCATTAGGCTGATTTGATCCTGCCTCATATTCTACCTCACATTCCTGATGTAGTTTCTTAAGCATCTTAGTTTCTGAAGTAGGACAACTAAAAGCTTAGTTCAGACCAAGATATGAGAAGACTTTTTCCTTTCATATCTTTATTTAGTGGAAGGACTTAAATCACAGTTTTTAGACTCAAAGAAATTAAGACTTGAAAAATCAGAGTATCTTCCAAGCTGTGAAGAGGTTGGTGATTGAGGATAGGGACATATTATCATACTGTTTATCCCTAATATACTGGTATCTCACTGAGATTGTATTCTCTGAACCAGTCTAATGTTATAGTTGATGCTGGTTTTGGAAATTTAATTAAAATATTTTAACTAAATTTGAAACAGTATACAAATCACTTTTGAAGTATTAGTATTATTTTCTGAAGTGTTTCAAATTTCAAACTATGTAATAAATGATAGTATAGAGGCTTATTTATAAAATGTTACAGAACATGCAAGTACCTTTCTGCAGCATTTTTGTCATAGTGATAAAAAATCAAATCGAAGCAAGTCTTTATTATGGCCATAGACATAATAAGTAGTGAAATGCTTGAATTACAGGTAGTTTGAATTAACAGTAGGAAATTTTTGTTTGCTATCTTAAATCCCTTTTGTCCTATTTTTTAGCTGAAAATCAATTGCATTAACAATCATATTTCAAGTTGAATTGATAATATAGTTCATGCTGTCAACATTGATACAAAGGAAGGAAAAGAGAAACAAACCCAGACACCGGGTATTAGTGACTGCTATCTTAAGTGCTCTTTCTGTCAATAGAAGAGTGAAACTGTTTCTCTCTAGTTTGTGTATAGGATCAGACTGATCTTAGATTTCCATGAAGTTCTTTCTGAAAAGCACAGTAACAACTACTAAGCAAAAGGTTTCCTTTAGTTCCTTTTAGGACTGTAGTTTCTTAACTGAAATGTTGCAGGAGTGTACACTCATAGAACTTATTCTGAGAATTAATATTAACATATTGTAATAATGTAAAAGTTTTTTGCTGAATTAAAAATTGTAAAAAGAGTTTTCCAAGAATAGTTGCAAATACAGACTGAACTTAGCGTAAGTTGATAAATTTCAGAAATATAGACTGTTATCTAAATAGAAGTAATATAAATGTGGACTAACAATAGTGTTTATAAAGTAGCATCTTTGGAAAAGTCATCAATTTTTAGTATACACCAGTTTTTCTATTTAAAAATTAATCACAGTGTCTTTTAAAATGCTTTTTCTAGTTTGGCAATATATTAGTATTTGGGAAAATATACTTAATATGGGTATAGTTTATTTGGTTTAGCTAGAAGAAATAGAACTAAAAAGTCTAGACAATGAGCATAAATTTATAGGATTATGTGGAACTATGTAAATGGCCAGAGAAATTATTGTAGTTTTGTTGTCCATTAGATCAATATAATTAAACCTAATGTATCAGAAATTTAGCAAACTACACTCAGTCTTCTATTTTCAAAATGGAGTTTCATTAGATGTACCCCTGATGGACAATCTTCTAACCCGGGGGGAGGTGCCTTTACGCGAACTGGGCCGTGCATGCATGAATGGGGCCACAATAGTACGTGCGATCAAACGGGCCCAAGAGCGCCTATGTGATGCCGCATTGCTAGCTCAAGTGGGTGGGTGTGCTCACAGCGATGATAGCATCTGCATGATGCCAGGATGCTAGCGCAAATGTGGGGTGTGCTTGCAGCAACACTAGTGCCTGCATGAAGCTTGCAGCATTGCTAGTGCCCACACAACACAGGCGCAAGTGGGGATGTATATGTGCTCGCAGTGATGCCAGCACCTGCATGACACTCACAGATCACTAGCACACGTGCCACACCGCAACATCATGAGTTGGGGTGCCTGCATGCATATTCACGCTCACTGGCCAGTCACTCATGAGGCCTGGTGACAACAGCCCACAGCCCAGTAGTCAGCTGTTGGGACCCCTGTTCTAACCCTCTGAGTAGATCTGAGGAATGCAGGGGGAGAAAGTTAAAGGAAAAGCAGAAAAGCAATATTTTGTTCCATCAGCAGAAAAACACATTTTGATATAAAATGCCTATTATTTAAAGAATGAGTTAAAACTTAGTATGATATCATATATGCAGCGTTTATGTATTTGTGCTTTTTATTTTTTTTACAAAATTATATAATACCACAATTTCTGGTGTAGTTGTATAATAAGTGGGGGGAAATACCTTTCCCCAAAGAGTGTCCTTGAATTCTGCCACCAACATGTTCCCTAATTAGGGAACAGTGTTTATTTAGAAGATTAATGACAAAGTTTGATTTCAATGTTTGTTCAGTTCTGTGAAAATTGCTACCTGCTAAAAATCATATTTGAACTGTAATATTTTCTTAAAATGTACTTTTATTTTAAAACTATGCAAAATATTACCTCCAGTATTTTTTATTATAGGGATGCTGATTTAACATGCCATTTGAAAATTAACTTAAAATGATCATGACATAAATTTAATAGTTGTGATTTTGTTATTCTCATGTCAGATTTGTGAATATGCTTATGGTTTACTATATATTAATAGGTACTGACACCAGCATTTCAAAATAGCTGATTTCAAGTTGATGTGTAGGTTTAGATATTGGTAATATACATATTACAAAAGAACACATTAAATATATTTTACCAATCCAATGTTAGTGTTTCCAGTATATTCTGATGTAAGAATATTTGGAGACTCATCATATATTTTAACTTGTTCTGAACCACCCGAATCTGTGAGATGAGAATAGAATAGAATTCTTTATTGGCCAAATGGACACACAAGGAATTTGTCTTCGGTGTGTAAGCTCTCAGTGTACATAAAAGATATAAATAATAAATCATGATCATAGTCATCATAAATACATTCATATATAAATTATATGCCTCTATATAAATTAGATATTAGAGCAACTATATAAATTAGGTAGGTAGGTAGGTAAATAGACAGACAGATGCCATCTTGGAACTAATTTCCTGATTTTGTTGACTTTGCCAATCACTAAAAAGTATCTGCTGGTCTGTCTGGATCTGGAAGTCTCACAGGATATTAACCCTCTTATTCTCCAGAAGGATTCCCCATCTAAAACTTAGGAGGGTCTAACCTACATTCTCTACAGATGTTCCTGTACAGAATGCCAGCTACCTGGTTGTGCCATTCAGCATATGCTATTCCTGTCTGCATCCCATACTCTACCAGTATATGTTGGACTGTCTCTGAGCCTCTCTGCATAATCTGCATCTTGGTTCATATTCTAGTGTGATACACCTCTACTTCTATGGATCTGGTGCTTAGTGCCTGTTCTTGTGCTGATATGGTCAGGGCCTCAATGCTGTCTTTTAGTCCAGCCCTGGTAGGATTTCCCATTGTCTGCCACCTCAGCTATCTGTCAGTGGTATATCCCATGCAGTCTTATCTTGCCATGGCACAACTTCTGCTTGATTTTTCTTCATATGTGCTGCTGTCTCAGGCATTCTCTCAGCAGCTTATCTTGGAGCCTTACTGATGTGCTCCTGGATGCTCTGGGTTTCATCCATGACAGTGGCTTTGACGGTCACCAGGCCCTGATCACTTTTTTTCCCCATACAATCTCTGGATGTTGGGCTTGGGATAAAAACCTCTGTATATTGTGGAAATCTCTGTAAATACTGTATATAACATTTATAATGTATTTTGTGAACTTCTTGAAGAGTAGCTTTGGTTCATATAAACAGTTAATTCACAGTGATTATTACCAGTAATAGGTCCTTTCCATGTGAGCTACTTGCTTTTCAATTTTTTCCTTCTGCTTTTGATATTTCTTAAAGTCTTTGCTTCCCCTCCCAACATTTCCTATTGCCATTTCTTCAGTTTTTATTTTCTTGCTACTAAAACCTCTCTGTTTATTTCTATAACATTTGAAATTAGCTGCTCTGGGAGACTTTCCCAGCCAGATTGACATTTCACAACTCCCATAGAATCTAACAGCCATTCTTAATTGACAGTTCCACAAGTTTACCAGTTGATTTCTGGCATATATTGTTGAGTATAGTATAATGTATTTTATTTAGCATATACTTCTATCCAGCCAAAGGTTTATTTTCTCTCCCATAACAAGCACTTTGTGAGGTAGGTTGGACAGAGAAAGAGTACCTAGATTGGCTCATAGCTCATGTATTTATGTAACATGTACTAGTGTGCTATTTATTAGACTATGACAATTGTCACTTGATCTTTTAAAATCTTCAGTTCTGAGTTAAAATTTGTGTACTATAGTGTTAATGTAACTTTTAAATAATCTGTATATATGTCTATCTGTTGTTTTTTTCTCTAGTTCTCAATACTTTACTCTGATTTGCATATATATAAATACTTTACATAATTTATGTTGCACCTTCCCTAGGTGTTCTTTCTATACTCCCTCCTCCCCAGACATGCTTTCTTCATTCAATTACTATTGAGTTTGGGTGGTGATATTAACTGGGTCAAGGGCATGGAATTAATTACATAGAGAAATGGAGAACTAAACTTGGCTTTTCCTGATAGAGGATTATAGATGTCTTCATCTTTCTTTGTTAAATTCAGTGCCAGGAAATGAATAGGTTGGGAGTCTGGGTATCTTTATATCAGTTGAAGCATCTTCAGCCTCAACAAAAGGGGGAAATACTGGAATCAAATCAGAATTATAATTGATAATTTAATTTGTTCAAACCCTTGGCCCTGATTATTAGAAAGTATTACCAGTAGAAAGTAAAAATACTGATTAAAATTATTGTAGTTAGGTTTTTTTAATTCTTTGTCCCTCCCTCCCCCCGTAGTAGTGATGTAAAGTGCAACTTCAAGGATATGA